CAGCAGTCAGTCTGTCAGTCAGTCTGTCCATGCTCGCAGGCAGCAGTCTGTGCTTCCAGCAGTCAGTCAGTCCGTGCTCGTGTCTCTCTTGCAGGTGCTCCCCACTCGACCAGCAGCACGTCCCTGCACTCGGAGCGCTCCGTCAGCGGCATCAACCTGGTGGGTTTCAGCTCCAAGCCGGACGGGATGCACCAGCGCTCCTACTCTGTCTCCAGTGCAGACCAGTGGAACGAGGCCGTGGCCATCCCCGGCAGCTGCCCCAACCCCTGTGAGTAGCTGCCCCAGCTCCTTGTGGCCTTGTCCCGTCAGCCGCAGCCGTGGGGCCGGGCTGAGCTCTGCCCTGTGCCTGTGAGCCCACAGTGTGCTCCTGGGTGTCAGACACAGCCTCGGGCCTCGCCGGGCTGTCCCCTCGGTGAGGGTCAGCGGGCAGTGTCCCGCCAGGGAGGCAGCTGTCCTGCAAGGCATGCAGAAGCTCCAGCCGGGGACCCTGCTCTGCAGCAGGGTGGCTCGGAGCCCTGTGCTCTGACCTTGCTCTGAGCTCCGTGCTGGGGTGCTGGAGTACGTGCCGCTGCTTTCCCCCATCACTGCACCTTGTGGCACCCCCCTGTCCCACATTTCGGGGCAGTTGAAGGAATAGGAGTGATTCCTGTCTCTGGAGCACACACCGAGCACGGCCCGCCCCCTCCCCCCACGCTCACTCGCTCTCAGTGATGTTTCAGGACAGTTGAGTGAATTAAAATAATTCATACATTTCCCAACGTAGCCACTTTGCCGAATTGGAAAATAAATGCTTTTGTGCTGCATTCATCACTCCTTCGTTCCTGGCTCTGCCGCCGCACTAAAAAAGCAGTTAAATGCACATCAAGAGTGGAGGAGCCATTTCCATGCCTGCTCGCCCCTTGTAGTTCTCATTAGCGCGGCAGCCGCCCCCCCGCCCGCTCCCAGGGGCTTTCGCAGTTTAAAGGAGCCTCTTTATGATCATTACCGGAGTCCGACTGTGCGGGCGCCATTTGCAGCTGAGGAGGCTCCTCATTTGTAACTGTGAAAAACTATCAATTTCAGCGCGCCTGATGCAGCGGCTCCATCATTGGCCCCATCAGCTCCCTGCTGGAAGCGAATTAATCAGACTGTTACTGCTGATGGGGCAGCGCGGGCGCGGGGA